CAGTTGTCTTCGTAATATTGTTCTTACTACTAATCTTATAATATCAACTGTACCAACCGTATAGCAGTTGCAGCTGGTTTTCAATAGAATAGCAGCTAAGGCCATTTTTCATTACGACCAGTATGTGTTTCTGTTTTTCTTTATGCAAGATGTTTCAACACTAAATTCTGTAAGGGTGGTTACATAGTCCAAGTTTTGTTTTGTAAAAGTGAAAAAAAATTCTTATATCAAAAGGAACTCCCAAATATTTCTGTGTGTAAATATATACATATAAGTATGAGGAAGTCAACATGTTATCAGTTTCACAATTGTTTCCCATGAGAGACATAATGGTTTTCGTCTGTAACTGATGTCCATATATAAAACAGTAATACAAATAATTATGGAAACACACACATGATACACATTATAGAGTACCAAACAACAAATGGTACAAAGCCTTATCATAGAATATGCAAAAGAAAGCAAATAATTTGTACAAAGCACTGGTGTTGTATTCTCTCGTTCACTGATTCCTTCCAAGAGTAATCAGGTAGTTCCGGAAGATAACATGTGACTTGGCCAAAAAATGTTTTATGGGATTAAAGGTGAATTCTTTGATTTTGACTGGGCCATGAAAAAAAAAAGATGCTAGGGACAATGAAAAACACACATTTAAAACACTATTTATTTCTCAAACATAATCAAAATTAGTTTATAACGGAGGACGGTGCTTTTAGTGGATATTTGAGAAATATCTATGAGTATGAAAAAACCTATGTATTCCAGACTGGAAAAACATAGCATTATATAAAATAAGAGATGATGTAACCTTAAGGTATCACTTGACCCGTCAAATAAAAATATCATTTTCTACTTTCATATAGTATTTTCATTTACAGAAAAAATTGTCCCAAAGGAAGTACATGTTGTGCCATAGGTGATTGATCCGAAATATTAGGTAAGTATGATAAAAGAAACTTAGCCACTTCATTGACTAACGTTCTATAATTAAAACTATATATATATATATATATATGGTTGAAAATTGTGAAAAATTTCATGTGAACTTAACAGTTAGATATAAGGTGTATAAAACACCTAGCACGCCTGCATATTACATAATTACATTGAATCTGAGCCCTTTGTTTCAAAATAGAGCATTACATTTTGTTTCATGCTGCCATAGAATTTACTAATTTGCAATTTTGAGATTTTGTTTCATATATACTGTACTACTCTCCACAACTCAATCAAGCTGTTTGATTGCATTTTAACTATTTCTAGTGTTTACGTAAGCCCACATATCTTCAAGAATGTTCATATTGGGACTGTGGGAATGGAATGATGGATCAAAATCTGTCTGTACTTGTCAGCAGTTAGAGCCACCAATTTCACGTAGATTACCTACACTGTCGGCTGAGATACAAACCCATATTTGTGCTGACACATCACCATGCTTCACTGGTTTAGTTCATTTTCAGTAATAGGTGGTATTCCAATATAAGTTGCATTTCAAACCATTATTCCTCAACCTTTCCATATTAATATAAATAGGTATATCACCTTATCTCCAATAATTTATAAGACAGCACTCGAATGCAGTGAACCACTGTAGTTTTGAACAGGATCCGACATTAAAAACACCTGAGTTACCAAAATACTTCGATAGATTTTGAAATCTTAATATAACTATAAATATAAATGGACATTCAACTTTTATTTTTCTTTCTCTTTCCGCGAACTTCATGGAAAGTACAGTCTTGGTTAAGATCCTGAAAAAAGACTACATAAACTCCTTAAGAAAGAGAATATTTCATGTTTATACATCTGATGACCATTCCTTCCTTCCTTATATATATATACAATGACTTTCCTTTATTCGATTTCTGTAAAGGTTATATTTTTTCTTCAGCCAATTTTACTACATCACACTGTTTGTTGTATTAACAATAACTACAATAAAAAAGCCTCAAATTATCCTTTACTACACCATAGAGACCGCATACTACATCACATTTACAAGTTTTATGTGTTTGACTATTACAATATTCAGTGTACAGAATTGACTAAATTATTTGGGTGAAATCACCAATATTCAAATGTATTTTGCATGTGACTCTATGTCATGGATCCACAAGCAAGTTGTTCCATAAATAGTTAATGAAAATGTTTTTAAGAAGTCAAAGAAGAAAGGAACCCATCGATAATTCCAGTGTTAAGACATTCGCATCTTATAAAAGACACTATTTTATCCACAGATTTCTTAAATGCAATAACTTACAACAGATCACCTTTTGCATTACTGTTAAAATCTGCTCTTCGAATGGCTATTATTTTAAATAAAAGACCAATCATTTTTCATTATGTTTTTATATGTTTTAAGATTCTAAATAGTTAAAGCACTCGAAATTTATCCGATTTTTGAAGGTTACAAAGACTACTAGATCAGTTACAATAGGGTTCTCAAGCTTTTGTACCTGAAGGCCCACTTAGTTATTTGACACAATGGTAAAGGCCCACATATACATTTAGTGCCTCATTAGTTTAAGACAGTCACAGTTATCCCTGTATGCAGTGGCCATAATTATGTGTCTCATGACCTACAGTCACTGAATTATAACAAATCAAAGTTTTTTAAGATTCCCATTTTAAAACACTTTTATCTCCTACATATATCTGATATATTTTGAGACTTTCATAATATTCAATACATATCCTTTACGCATTTCAATCACCTCTCGTACATTCCTAAGTCAGGATAACCATATATATTTTCAGTTGTATCTTTCATAGTTTTATAACAGAGTACTGATTGAAAGTTCTCGAGGGTTGTTTGTTAAATTTCACCGCAAAGCTACTCGATGGATATCTGAACTAGCAATCCCTAATTTTGAAGTTATAGACTAGAGGGAAGACAATTAGTCAACACCACTAAACGCCAGTTCTCGGTTTGTTCTTTACTAACGAATAAGTAGATTGACCGTCACATTATAACGTACCCATGACTTAAAAGGCGAGCATGTTCAGCAATGGGTTTTAACCCCACGGCCCTAGATTGCGAGTCAAACACTATAACTACTAGATCATATAAGGAAAGGTGGTATAACTACTTTGAAGATATATACGTTATCAAGACCTTCACCTAAATTCGTGTTGTATCAACTTTTCTCGCAACGGTAGCCTGAAATAAGCAGAGCATAGACTTGTTACGACAGCGGGGGTCACGTGACTCTAGTAACGCGTCATATTCTCGAACGTTCACGTCCCTTCCTGAAGTCTCGAGAGGCTACTAGATATGCGGTAGTCTTGTATATATAAGTCGCCAAGAAGTGGCGGCAACAATGTGTAATTGACAGTTGAGTCGAGTACGTGAGACGTTCATTGTGAATTACAGCGTTTGTTATAGCGTGAATGTGGAAATTAAGTGTATTGCAAAGTTGTATTCAGAAAGAATAAACCATTTTTATTTAAGAAAGGACTTGTATCGCTAAAGTTTCTTCGGAAAGAAGTTTTACGGAAAATTAACTAACGACCAGAGACGTAACAGACTCTACAAAAAGCTGGAAGGCGTCTTACTTGAGTTTAAGTCACTCGCCGATGAGTGTGGTTTCTAGCTGTTTTACAGTTGTCAGAAAATAGGTACGGTGACCGATTAATTGTTCAAGTGAATTCAAATATGCTCAACAAGAGTCAGATTCTGTCAGAAGCATATTTCTCGCACCATTATACCATCTCCAGTACAATTTGAATAATAGAAGCAGGGCAAAGTGCCTAGTGTATTTTTTCTCGTATGTTCATTTTAGTGTAAAAAAACAACAAAAAACTATTCATCAGAAAGCCTTATTTGCTTTCACTCATACCTTAACCACAACTTGTGCTCTAAGCACAATTGAAACTGTGCTTTTTATTGCCATCCAATATAGATGGGTTTCGGCTGACATGTGGCAGTTTCTTATGTGCCATGATTTAATAAATGAAAATTGCCATTATTCTCTCAGGTCAGAGACCATAAAGTTTAAACATAGCGATCCCGAATGTAGAACTTCTAACAAATGGAGGGCAATAAGTAAACAGCCTCCGCCTACATATCTATTCTTAACTGAATAGCAGAATGCCTTAATACCTCCAAAGCTGAAGTGTGGAGCATATTCAGCGACATGTTGTGGTTGGAGGTTCAATCCACACCCAAGCTCGCTAATCAGCAGGCCATGCCTGGCCAAACAGATGACCCTTTAATATTGAGCAGTTGCTTTGCAATAAATTTTATTTATTATAGCAAATGATTACTACGGCCTCCCAGTGGTACAGCGGTATGTCTGCGGACTTACAATATCAGAAATCGGGTTTCGATACCCGTATTGGGCAGAGCACAGATAGCCCATTATGTAGCTTTGTGCTTAACTTAAAACAAGACCAATTAATACTTTCCATTTCATCACATATCGTTAAACACAGATATTATAATTTTAACACACGTAGAGGAATGATTTTATTAATGAGTCAGATTTGATTTTAACTAATATAAATTTGTCTTGAGAATACTTTAGGATTTGCGATATTTATAATATTTTATTCCAATATAAGTTGCAAATACATATTCATCGCATGATGCTTATTTAGGGTATAAATGAGGGGTATTATATTTCTTCATTATTATACGCTATTTAACTACCCACAGGTGTTTCAAAAATGTGATTGGTAAAAAATAAACTGAATTGCCACTTGTGAAAAAGAACACAAAATAACAGTAAACGATATTTACTGAGACTTCGACAGTTATAAGTAAGAATAGCAATATTTACAAGAACGAACGAAAAGCTTTAGTAAATATCTCAATACCTTTTTAAATAGCTGTAATAACTTGTGAGTTAAATTCTTATATAATAAAAATGTTATGAGTAGAATGGTTTATTTTTTATAAAATTCCTTTGAAATATTTTTAAAATTCATTTTGAACGTCATAGAAGCGAATGTTTGCTTTGACGTGACGTTAGGCCTACTTTGACAGTGAAGCTGGTAAATTACGAAAAGGGTGACAGTAACCAGGGAGAATAATTTACCTTTGGTTGAATCTGAAGTTGCAAGTTACTACGCTTATTAATTATAACTTAAGTATTATTTTCAAACTACCGTTCCTTTAAATGACGAACATAAACCGAAAGGTGAAGTTGGAATTTGGCTTAATTTGAGACTTAAGTTATATAATCACAATCTACGGAGAGAATAACTTCCGGCGTAACTAAGCCATTTGATAGTGGTATTGTAAGTTAGTGTTTTGTTCAAATTACTTTTATTGTGTATACCAGGTTAACGTAACATTAGCTAGTTCATGGTGTGTTATCACAGAAACCCATAAAATCAGTTAATAATTCTAAGTTGTATTATGTTATATTAAAATTTAACTTGGTTTCCATCACTAATAAGATATACAGCTAGATACGCTCGCTTCCCTGCGTGCTTGTTCCGTCCTCCTCGGAAAACGACTTCTATTACAATCAATGATTCCCTCCCACGTAGGTGTTGACGCCCTCTATCAAATTTAAATATATACTTATTTGTTTATGCGCAAAACCTCCACAGCGTTGAAAACTGCCAAGTGATTTATTTCGTTAGATGATTTCGCACACTTTTAACTATCGTACAGTGTACAGTGCTACTTAGATAACCTCACAACGTAGGTTTAACTTATTCGAAATAAAGAAGCTATAAACAAGGTATATCAATGTTTACTATTGAATTTTCTAGTCATCATGAAGGGATGCTGCCAAACACAAACAGGTACATCAAAGGTACATCATCTCTGATGAGAACACAATGACTAGGGAGGTGCAAAAACTATCTGAGGGTGAAGAACCGATTAAAACGGAAGCGCTCATCAAAAGGGGTTACTGGAGGCGGAGTTCAGAGTTTGTGCTATCATGCCTTGGATACTCAGTAGGGTTGGGAAATGTGTGGAGATTTCCGTACCTGTGCTACAGAAATGGTGGAGGTATGTACATGTAATATGAAACTCTGTACATTTTAAAAGTTTGTATTTTATTTTCATTTTTATCATATGATCATTTTAAATAACTATTTAGCTTTAAACACATAATGTGAAAACCTTAGCTATTTCAATGTTCATACACATTGTTGATTTGACTGAGTATATCGTCCGTAACTCGTATCAGTAGGCTTTAGTAACAAAAGAGATACACTTTGTAAATACAGTTTTGGCTTGATTACTAGTTAGAGCCCAGTGGCTAAGCGGTATGTATGAGGGCTTATAACGCTAAAAACCAGGTTTCGATACCCGTGGTGGGCACTGCACAGATAGCCCATTATGTAGCTTTTCGGTTAAGAGCAACCAACCACATTATCTCCAGTTTTCAGTGCAGTAAATAACAGTAACAAATCTTTTAGTCTCTTTTTTATACATGCCGTTTAGACACAAAATATCTACATAAAAGCAGCAATTCCAGATATGCTTATTTTATTTTTATTTTTTAATTTCGCGCAAAGCTACACGAGGGCTATCTGAGCTAACCATCCCTAATTTAGCAGTAAAAGACTAGAGGGAAGGTAGCTAGTCATCACCACCCACCGCCAACTCCTGGGCTACTCTTTTACCAATGAATAGTGGGATTGACCGTCATATTATAACGCCCCCAAAGGATTCGAACCCGTGACCCTCATATTGCGAGTCAAGCGCCCAAGAGACCTTCAGCATTGCTTCCAGATAGCAACATCATATCAGGATAAATGCCAGAGTAATTTTGTGCCAAGGTGTCCTGAAGATCAGATGACATACCATTAAATGGAGTTAAGCTAAGTCTAGATCCTTGATGAACTCTGTTGATTCTCCGAAAGGTGGATGACCAAATTTATTCTGATTTGATACAGCACAAATTCTTCCTTCAAGAAAGCTATGTAACCACCATAAGTTGTGCCCTCTGTATCCAGTACAATAAAGTTTTAGAGCAATAAATAAATATAGATAGTGCCAAAAGCAGATTCATTATCTGAGAAAAGAACAATTGCAAACCTTCATTTACAAGAGTAAATTGTTGTTGTTTTTAACTTGTTAAGCAGTTTAAAGCATTTTTCTCTTTATAAAAGCCAGTTTTACTACGAGAGAGATTAAAATAGTTTCTAGGGACCAAATAAAATGTTTATTGACTATAAGTTCAGGGGTCTTAGCTACACAAGGAGATGTTAGATGAGGAAGTTCATTAGGTTTGGAATAGATATAACAGCATACTTCCATAAAGGTGTACAGCAGCGAGTAAACCAATTGTTACTAAACAAGTTCAAGAGGAAAATGCAAGAAATGGCGAAGGTGGAGTAAAATTGAATAAGCGATAGAATTATTTCCAGGTGTTAAATCACAATGGTAAAGGGCAATATCAAATTCATGCCGTGTTAAGCAACGGTAGACAATACAATCTAATACAATGAGCCGGTTGCATTTGGTATTGCACTAGGACTACTTGTCAGTGAAGCTGCTGAGGACAAGAAGACATTTGAGCAGATTGAACCAGGATCTCACTAAAAGTATTGGCAAAGACTGTTTCAAAAATAGCAGAGAATAAGGAATAATACATCTCAGAAGAACATATTTCTCAGTTGATATTGGAAAACTTTCAAGTGGGAATTACCATAACTGGAAGAACTAGATAAAACAAGACCAAAGTGATCACAACCTAAACTATTGGCTGCCACTTTATGTGTGCATTTAACATTAGAGTAACGGGGGGCAATGGTTAAATCTAGAGCAGAAGGTTTGCTATTATATGAATCCAAATGAGTTGGTGATTCGTCATTGAGAATAAGTAATACATGTTTCTCAAGAAAAAAGTGTAACGTACGACCGTTGATATCAATAGGACGAACATTGATTACGAGTATTGAAATACTCCCAATTCAAAAAGGAACCATTTTCAGGAAACAGAGAAACAAGATCATTAAAACTAAATCATATAACTGGGTTATATATATTATTGATATAGTTATTTGTAATAACTGCTACAAGAAAATTTACTAAAAAATCTTCAATTAAAAGCTACAGTTAATAATTGTTAGTCTTAACCACACAAAAATGCCTTTATGACCACTCTATCTTAAGTCATCAGTTGAGTATTCTCGCTGTTAGTGGTGTGAGACTTGAGGCCCCAAATAACAGTAATTCGTATAGCTTTTAGACGAGAGACGTTGTTAATGTGAAAAGGAGAAAAGCGAAGATTTTGTCTAACAAGACAATACACCATATTTTAGGGATGGCTTGTCAACCAGAGCTGTCGAATAAACTATTTTTGATGCACTTAGAGTGAAAGTTACGAAATCTAAAACAGTGTCAATATTCTAAGAAGGAAACAAGGGTTCAGATTGAGTACCTTGATCATCCAATTTGCAGCCAACATTAACTGATCTGGTGAATAGATTACCAGTGGAAGGATAGTGGTGAAAGGAAGTTTGTTTGTTGGGCAAGTTTTGAGAAAGTACACGAGCATAAGAAATAACACTGCTTAAAAGTGAAGGAACAACGTCAATCCTAGCTTAAGCTGTAAGTAGCGTTAACGTGTTCACTTACTCTGTATTCCACCAGAGGAAACACAGTACAGTCTACCCGAGAATGACGTCTTACACAAGTGGAGCACCTCGTGTTACTTGTTCTCTACACTTGGAAGTAGTAGGTCTAAATATTTTACACTTGTAACACTGAGCAGGATTAGCTACAAAAGGATGAACTGGTAATTTACACTTGTAACACTGAGTTGGATTGGCTACAAAAGGATGAACTGATGAAAGAAGGAAATGTGCCTTCAAAAGTAGTAGATTCTCCCATTGTTTACCGAAGTTCCCCTAACTCTGCGTGAGAGTCGTTTGAATAATAGTATGTTTGGAAAAGCTTGTTATGAATCACACTACTGCTTACGACTAGAAAAATGTCCGAGCTTATTCAATATTGCTTGGTATAGAAATGAGGATAGTGAAGTCAAAAATTGAATAGTTTGAATGAGTCTTTCTGCATCAGTGGCAACGCCATCACTATCATCAACGATGGCTTTGATGGGGATGATTTCCTTCAAAGCTCTAGCCAGATGTCTGAACCCCTAATGTAAAGGGAAGTACCCTATAGACTAGTGGGAAGCACGAAAGCAATTACAGAACCTGATGACTTTTGGCATTTTTTCCCTGAACCCATGACCTTACTTAGCTTTATTAGAATTAGAAATAAAAGGGTCGAACAACAGGTGATATTAATTTTTAACATTAGATGTAGTAACTTCCAAAGAATTTATAACTTCCATGTAATTCACAATACCAGGAGGTCAAACACGAAGAAAAAGTCAGTAATATACGCAGGAAATGAAAATGTTCTGGGGCTATTCAGAGTAGATTAAGAACAGTTTAAATAACATGGCACGCAGTTAATGTATTATGATTAGTGAGAATTTAACCCTAAGAAATAAATCAAGAGAATACAAATCAATAAAATGTACTTGCATAGGACATCAGGAAGATGGTCGATTTGTATACTCAAGGATGTCTATATACTTATTGTAAGGTTGTGTACATTTGTTTGAAGTTAAGCACAAAGCTACACAATGGGCTATCTGTGCTCTGCCCACCACGGGTATCGGAACCTGGTTTCTAGCGTTGTAAGTCCACAGTTAAACCGCTGTGCCACTGGGGGCCATTGTCCATTTGTATACTGTATGCGATGATTAACAAATATCCCTTAATTGTTGCATGTGGAACTTGTATTGTTTATTTGTTCGTTCACCCATTTTTCGTGGGTTTAAAGTTTAAAGTTCGTGTCCCGTTACCACAAAAATGCGCCCCGAACTTTGGGGCATTGTAAAAATGACGATCGAATTGTACTATTTGGCGGTGAGTGCTGTTGACCAGCTGCCTTCCCTGTACTCTATCAATCCAAAATTATATATTGTTGTGGGCATATAGTCCTTGTGTAGCTTTAACCAAAAATTCAAAAAGAAACCGTGTAGGAGTCAATTCTAGTGACGAAATTTCAACACAAAGACTGGTTTGTTTGTTTGTTTGAAGTTAGACAGAAAGCTTGGTTTGTTTGTTTGTGTGAAGTTAGGCACAAAGCTACACAATGGGCAATCTGTGCTCTTCCCACCACGAGTATCGAAACCCGCTTTCTAGCGTTGTAAGTCCGCTGGGGGTCACAAAGACTGGATACATGACATACAAAGATCAAAGTACAAAAGACAGAAAGGTTTTATACTGAAACTTAGCATTCTCAAAGACTAATTTAAATTTCTGTAACTATTAATTTCGGAAAAATCGGTACAGTATTTTTTTTATGAACTTGAGATTTTGACACACTTTTGTAGAGAAATGTTTTCGTGTTACTAAAGATTTTTTAGTTCAAACTGAATTAAGATACTTGAGAAAATTTAAACAGTGGAAAAAGATTCGTCATCCACTGAAAAAAAGATAATTTTGTATACACGTAAGTACTAATGACATAGAAATGGGCATACAGCCAAAGATTGTCATTTTTTGCTATCCTATTACTCTGCCATATTGGCAGAATTATCCTGTTAGTAACAATTTCAGCTCTGAACGTAATTTTATTTATTTTCTATGTAGTGTAATATCAATTACAAGTGTAACCTTGTTTTAGTATACAGGCACTTGATGCACATAAAATGAAATGTGAAGTGATTTGGGCCTTCAAGGCAACTCTGAGCGTCCGTTATCTTAAACTTTTCTCCAGTTTTTTATTAAATAATGGTACTATTTTCAAAATATATTGTGTACTGTGTAATTTATGAAATAAAAGGATAACTCATTTTTCACGATACTTCGTCTGCTGTGGTACCTTGAAATCTTCGCTAGTTAATGTTATTTTTTTTAGAGCAAAACCACATTGGGCTATCTGCTCTGTCCACCGCAGGAATTGAACCCTGGATTTTAGCGTTGTACGTGCATCGACTAACCCCTGTCCCATCGGGACCGCTAAATAGGCACAAAATT